CTGAGTGAATGCCAGACCAGCCTGGCAGGTTTGCCTTCAAGTTCTTTCCCTCTTCCCATTCAGTAGCATCTCCTCTCAGCCAGAAGTGAACTGCCAGGGTCTGGAGTCATTTGCTCACTCAATCATTTACTTAAGACATACTTGTGTTTTTCCTTGATTCTCGGTTTGAGCTCTGTATGTACTGGAGAATCATTACATTGCTGCATAGTGTGTTTGAGTGTGGGTGGTAGAATTGTAGGAGGGATTTACAGAAGACTCTGGAGTTGAGGGAAGTGATGTTTCCTACGCTTCCTAGACAGCAGGGCTTTTTAAAATTTAACACTTCAAGAGACTGGAGAGCTGACACAACATTAGGAAAGCATTCTGTTATTACAGAGGATCTGGGTTCAGTTCCCAGGACCCATGTCAGGAGGCTCACAAGTGCCTGTAACTCCAGCTCTAGGGGATCTGATCCCCTTTCTGGCCTCCTTGGACACTTGTACACATGGCACGTGCAGGCATCCACACACACGCACACACACACAGAGACACAGATAATACACACACTTAAATAAAAATAAATAAAAACTTTTTTCACTTGCAATCCCTTTTGATAACTGTGGTGGTGGTTTGGGCAGTAGTGGTGGGGTGGGGGGGAGGACTTGTGCATACCACAGTGTGAACGTGGCGGTCAGAAGACAACTTTGGGTGTTGGCCCTCACTGTCAACCTTGTTTGAAGCAAGATCTCTTTTTCTGTTATGCGGCATAGCCCAGGGTAGCTTCCAGGGAATTCACTTGTTTCCACCTCTCATCTTGCTGTAGGAGTGCTGGTATTACAGACACACACTACCATGCCTGACTTTTATATGGGTTCTGGTGATTCGAACTTAGGTCCTTGGGTCAATGAGATGACTCAGCAGATGAAGGTCCTTACTTCAAAGCCTGACAACCTGAGTTAGATCCCTGGATCCCAGGTAAAGGTGGAAGAAAAGAACCAATGACACAGAGTTGTCCTCTGACCTCCACATACATGCCAAGGCATGTGTGTGCCCCTCTCTCTCTCTCTCTCTCTCTCTCTCTCACACACACACACACACACACACACACATTGTTACATTGCACTAAAAAAAATACTTCATGTCCTCATGCTTATGTGGCAAGTACTTCACACATTGGGCTAATCCCTCCAGGCCCTTGCCTAAGAAATTTTTATGCAACCCCAGGTATATAGGCATATAAATCAAACATTTACTGATAATAAATCATAAACAAATTTATTTTAAAACAATTCTTTGGTATACGTATACTTTTGCTTTCTAATAAAGATAGCAAATTTGCATATTAATGAGATGAACATATTTGTTCATTCAACACAATAAAACCCCAAAATACATTAATTTTGTTTGAGTTTGGTTTTGGTTTTTTGGGACAGGGTCTCATGTAGTCCAGACTGGCATAGCTAAAGATGACCTTGAACTCCTGATCCTCCTGCCTCCACCTCCCAAGCACTGGTATTACAGGTGTGTACCGCTGTACCCAGGGTAAGATATACTAAACTGGGCTTAGTATATTTTACATGCAGAGGAATGACAATATTTTGAAAGTCTTTTTTTCCCATATTTAAAGCATTATGCTTTTTTTAAGGACAGAGAACATTGTATGTGCAGTAAAACACCATAATTCATAACACAATAGTCTCCAATGGGAGTGGATCATTGAGGAAAAACTGAGGCAGAAACTCAAGGGTGGAACCTGGAGACAGGAACATGGAGCAGAAACCATGGAAGGAATGCTGCTTACAGGCTTGCTCTCAGGCTTGTGTTCAGCAGCCTGCCTACCTTCCTTCCTTTCTTTTTCTTTTTTTCTTTTTTGGAGAACAGGGTCTCCCAGTAACCCCAGCTGGCCTGGAACTCACTATATAGCTATATAGACTAGGCTGGCCTCAAATCTCAGAGAGATCTGCCTGCCTCTACCACCCAGGTGCTGGGATTAAAGGCATGTGCCACCATTCCTGGCCAGCTACCAATTTGATGAATTCTATCAAGTTGACAACTAAGGTATATCAAGTTGACAACCAAGATTAGCCATCACACTGCATAGACACAGCCTCCTATTTAAATCATCTCAATATTGTTTATAAAGCCTAAATCAGTGCCATTGCTATGTAAATAGTTGTTTTGGGGTCTTTTTGGTTTTTTGGTTTTTTTGAGACAGGGTCTCCTGTAGCCCCTTGGAACTTGCTATGTAGACCAGGCTGGCAGTGAACTCACAGAGATCCATCTACCTATGTACTGTACAATCTTTTCTGCTTTATAGAATCCTCTATTAGAAGACGCTAATCTAAGATTAAGCCTGCAGAAGGAGTTAGCCAGACCTAAGAGGGAAGGTTATCTGTAAATGGCATGTGCTGGATAACTTTAGTTGCCAACTTGACATACCTGGGTAGAGGAAGGCTCAATTGGGGAATTTCCTCCATTGAACTGGCCTGTGGCCATGTCTGTGGGGTATTTTCTTTATTGTTGAGTGATGTGGGAGGGCCCAGCCCACTGTGAGTGATGCCACCCTGGGCAGGTTCTGTATTGTATAAGAAAGCAGGCCTTTAATCCCAGCACTTGGGAGGCAGAAGCAGGCAGATCTCTGTGAGTTCAAGATCAGCCTGGTCTGCATAGCAGGCTTCAGGCCAGCTGGGGCTACAGGGAGACCCCGTCTCAAAAAGACAAATAAAAAAAAGAAAAAGAAAGAAAGAGAGAAAGAGAGAGAGAAAGAATAAAGAGAAAGAAAGAAAGAAAGAAAGAAAGAAAGAAAGAAAGAAAAAGAGAAAGAAAGAAAGCAGGCTGATCATGGGTCAGGGGAACAAGCCAGTAAACAGCATTCCTCTATGGCCTGTGCTTCAGCGCCTACCTCTAGGTTCCTGCCCTGTGTTCCTAACCTCTGGCTCCCTGATGAACTGTGACCCAGGAGATGTAAGCCGAATAAACCCTTTCCTCCCCAGGTTGGTATTGGTCAAAGTATTTTGTCATAGCAATGGAGAAACAAACTAGGACATGGTGCTTGGGTACTAAATACAGTGTTGGCTCTTGTTGGAGATGCTGGGGCTCATTCCTGCAGGGCCTTGCCTGCCATCTAGAACATCCTCTCAGGGCTGCTGGAAAGCATTGGCGTGCATGACATCATCACATTTGTATATCAGAGAATGGAACGCAGGAAGAACAAGAATACAAGCAGAGGGACCAATCAGAGACGGTTGCTTTCTTTTAACTTTGACCATTCAAAGCTTAGCAATATGAATGGAAAGAGACTTCAGATGTTCTTTCAACAGACTGCAGCCTGTGGTGAGCCAGAAGGAAGCAGAACCAAGCTTATAGCTTTGGGTGTGGTGCCAAAGCCCCTTGTGTCTAATATGGAATGTGAAGAAGAGGATGTGAGATTGTTCCTCAAAGTGCTGGTTGATAAGGGAGTGGCAGCAGTCAACTAGAGAGACTCATGCCTCATCCTGTCATCACAGTGGCTCATAGATGAGAACAACAGAGAGAGAGGTCAACAGACCAGGCTCTGAGCTCACAGGGTCCATTGATAGCAGCACTGGGGCTCCAGGGCCGGCAGAAGAAACTTGAGCGTAAAACCCATTGCTTCCCTTTTCTCTTTCATCGTCTCTCCCCTGCCACGTTCCAAAACTACCCTGATAGATACTGAATTCAAGGTCCTCTGCAAAACAACCCTATGCAGTGTGGGCTGTTTCATTCCTCACAATTCCCTGATAGAGCCCAAATTCTAAATTCCTCAAAAGTCCCTCAGAGGTCCAGCCTGCTTCCAGGGGCTCTTCATTCTTTCTGGAGTATATGCTCCTGTTATATCACAAATGCTGCCTGTAAAGAGGTGATTGGTCTCATGCCCTATTCCTTTTAGCACCTTCCCTACACTTCTACTGTGTAGCAATCCCAAAGTAAGACAGGACAACCAGATTAGCCTCCTGAGTTATCAGCTATCTGCCTCTATTATATTAAGTGGAAGAGACTATAGAGCCATGCTTTTCAAATTTGAATGTGTATTAGGAGTACTTGATGTTCTTGCAGAGGAACCAAGTTCAGTTTTTAGCACTACATGGTGGCTAACAACCATCCATAACTCCAGGTCCAGGGGATCTGATACATCTTCTGGCCTCTGCGGGGATTGTATGTATGTGATGCATTTATATACATGTAAGCAAAACACTCAAACACATTAAAAAAAAAAAAAAAGAAGTCCAGCATGGTGGTGCACACCTGTAATCCCAGCACTGGGGAGGGAAGGTAAGAGACAGGAGGATTGAAGGCTTCCTGGCCAGAGAGTCTGGCCAAATAAGTGAAGTGAGAGACCCTGTCTCAAAAAATAAGATGGAAAGTGATTGATGAAGACACCTGATATCAACCTCCAACCTCCACATATGTGCGCATGCACACACAATGTAAGAAGAAAAACAACCTGTAATCATGAACGATGAAGGAAGCTAGGCAAGGTGGCATACACCAGTAATCTCAGCATTTAGGAGATGGAGACAAGAGGGTCAGGAGTTCAAGGTCATTCTCTACTACATTGTGAATTTGAGAGTTTGAGGACAGCCTGAGCAACATGAGACCCAGTCTAAAACAAACAAACAGCAGCAACAACAAAAAAGAATTGAAGGACAATGAATCATCAGAAAGGGAGATGAGACATAAGAAAGTGAAGATTCAGTCGATAGAGACTGGAGGTAGATCTTATCTTTCTCCTGGATCCTGGAGTCATTCTTTTCTTTTTTCAATCTTTGTGTATGATGTGTGTGTGTGTGTGTGTGTGTGTGTGTGTGTGTGTGTGTGTTTGTGGGCATGATTGCAGGCAAGAATGTATCACGGCATGTGGGGGGAGGTCAAAGAACAACTTCAAGTGTCAGCCCTCATCATCTATCTTGTCTGAGACAGGAACTCTGTGTTGCTTGCCACTGCAGACACCAGGCTACCAGACCCTCAAGCTTCTGGGTTTCTTGGGCTTTTTCTTTTTAATTCAAGGGACTGCTCAAATGCAATCCACCACTATCACATATTAGGCAGTCAGGTGTCCTGCATTAGGGGAAATTACAGGGGTCAGCACATCCCAAGTGTAATGGATGAGCCTCACTAGCCCTGGGAAAACCATCTTCTTGATCATGGTGTCTCCTCTGCCAGTTAAGGACCTGGGGAGCCTCTTGTCTCTGCCTCTCATCTCGCCATCACACCCTATTCTATATGGGTTCTGGGGGTTCAAACTCAAGTCCTCATGGTTACAGAGCAAGTGCTGCCCACTGAAGCATCTCCCCAACTCTCCTGTAGTCACTCTATTCTTAATTCTCTCAAGGAACAGTCACAGTGCTTTCCACAGTGGCTGCTCCACAATCTTGCCAATGCTTGGTATTTGCTATTGTTCTTCTAATGTTAGTGAATTGATGTCTCATGTTTCCTGATCCTCAGTGATCCCCAGCACTTTTCAATGTTTTTTTGGTTTGTTTTTAATTTTGATGAAGTTCAACATATCCATTTTTTATTTTGTTGTGTAAAGGCCATGTCATACGACCTTTCTAGACTGTTTTCTTCTAAGAGTTTTATAATTTTAGGGTTTTTTTTGTTGTTTTTTTGTTTGTTTGTTTTTGTGTTTTGAGACAGGGTCTCCCTGTAGCCCTGGGCTGGACTTGAACTCACAGAGATCCACCTGCCTCTACCTCTGGAGTGTTGGGATGAAAGGCATACACCACCACACCTAGCTAGTTTTAGCTTTTTTTTTTCTTTTTAAGATAATCTTGCTGTGCAGCCCAGGAATTTACAGCAATTCCGGTGTCTCTGTGCCTGTTTCCTGAGTGCTGGGATTGTAGGCATGTGCCATCACACTCCTACATTTTGTTTTAGATCAATTTTGGGTTAAATTTTGGATGAATTTTATTTTGATGCAGAAAGAAGGAGGATGTACGGTCCAGAGCCTCTGGTCACCAAGAGAGATTTACCACTTTGCAGCTCCCGGGGTGGGGGTAGGGGGACACAACAAGATTGATTTGCATGTGGAAAGCCTGGTAGGCTTTTAGAGAAAGAGAAACTGATCTTTTTTTCCTTAATCTTCTGTCTTCCAGCTAATTCTGCAGCTGAAAAGAGAAAGTGATTTGATCAGACAGAAGGGATGTGGGAAAGGAATGCAGGTGTCAGTCACATAGGAAAGGGGAAGTGGTGTATTTATAGAAATCTCCACATTTACTTACCAGTAAGGCAGAGTGTAGAGTGCTGCTCAGTGGTAGAGCACTTGCCTAATTTGCTAGAGGCTCTGGGTTCCACTCAAGCAATGGGGAAAAAGAAAAATTAGGGGTGTGAGAGATGACTCAGTGGTTAAGAGTGCTTGCTGCTCTGCCAGAGGACCCAGATTCTGTTCCCAGCACCCATGTTGAGTGACTCACAATGGCCCAGAATTCCAGCTCTAGGGGATCCAACATCCTCTTCTGGCCTCTGTGGACACTGAAAACATATGGCATACATGCACACATAAATAAAAAAATAAAAATAGCTCTTTTAAAAATTATTTGTAGCTGGGCATGGTGGTGCACGCCTGTAGTCCCAGCACTTGGGAGGCAGAGGCAGGCAGATCTCTGTGAGTTCAAGGCCAGCCTAGTCTACATAGTAAGCTCCAGGACAGCTGGGGCTACAGGGAGACCCTGCTTCAAAAAGACAAAACTCTGCCCCCCACAAAAAGCAATTATTTGTATGTACAGGCTCTTATTCTGTATTTGCCTGGTAGAATTTACCTACAGGGGCTCCTGAGGGCATGAGGCACCTGGATATAGATGTTTGGTGAACACATTTATTTATTAGACGTTATAAAACTGGCCAGGTGTGGTGGCACATGCCTTTAATTCTAGCACTCTGGAGGCAGAGGCAGGTGGATCTCTGGGAGTTCAAGGCTAGCCTGGTCTACATAGTGAATTCCAAGGCAGCTGGGGCTACAGGGAGACCCTGTCTCAAAAAGACCAGAAAAAAAAAGAATTTATGAAACTAACAAAGTGGGTTACAAGGAAAAAAGTGGCAGAAGAGTGATTTTGGAAAGGTAGGCAGGGGACCACCTAGGGGGACTTGGTAATCAGCTCAAGAAGTGTGACCTTTAGCCTAGAGTGAAGATGATATATTCCAAAGCCCACAGAGACTAGGCATGTAAGTGACAGAGTCCAACCAGATGTAAGATGGTAGGGAGCCGTGGGGGCTATGACAGATCTTCCAAGAAGCTTGGTGTGGTGGCTCACACCTGTAATCCCAGCACTCAGGAGTCTGAGGCAGAAAGATTACCATGAGTTTAGGCCAACCTGGCCTACCCTGTGATTTCTAGGCCAGCATGAGGGCGTGGTGGCACATGCCTTTAATCCTAGCACTTGGGATACGGAGGCAGGTAGAGCTCTGTGAGTTGGAGGCCAGCCTGGTCCACATATAGTGAGTTCCAGGCCAGCTGTGGCTGCAGGCAGACCCTGTCTCAAAAAGACAAACAAACAAACAAACAAACAAACAAACAGTAACACAACAGCAAAGAGAGACCTGGCTCAGACTTGTAATGCCATTACTCAGGAGACTGAGGCAGGGAAAACATGAATTCCAGACCAGCCTAAGGTATAGTATAAATTCCAGGCCAGCCTGGGCTACATAGTGAGATTCTTTCTCAAACAAGCAAAAACTATAGGCAGGGGACTGCACAGATGGCCCAGCAGTTAAGAGAAATTGCTGTTCTTCCAGAGGACAGGAATTTAGTTCCCAACACTCACACTTACAGCTTCTTGGAACTCCAGCTCCAGGGAATCTACACCTTTTACTGGCCTCCACAGGCACTGGAATGAACATGCACATACAAACATGCAGACCAATACATACATATAAATCAAATAATAAATGTTTATTTTTAAAATTGAGTGGTGGCAACATGGATTCCAGGCCTGCACCACCATATCCAGAGCAAACTTTGCTTTAATTATCCAGTGAAGAACTAGCCTATGCAGTCTTTGACAGTACCTTTCTACTCCTTTCCTAAATTGGTAGTAGAAGGACACAGGACACATAGATAATCTCTAAAGCCAAAGGTCAGGAAATTTTAACAAAGACTTCAATTTTTCAAGCAGTCTAATTTTATTCGTGATTATTTTAGAAATAAAATTCTTCACCCTCACTAATGGGCTCTTGATAATTAAAATAAAAACATACATACCATGGTTTTTGGCTCTTCTGAGCAATTAATGGGAAACTCAGAGTCATATCTTTGCAAAAGTAACTAGGTTCAAGCAGCTTAGGGAACTGACTTCCAAGAGGCCCCCTTAGGGAGACGGGAGGAAAGGTGACTCCCTTCACACAGTTTTTAATTTTTTTGGGGGGGGGGTGTTGCAAATAAAACCCAGAGCCTGTACATGCTACTTCTGAACCACATCCCCAGTTCCCAAAGAAACTTCCTAACACCTGACAGATACCACCTTTAGAATTTTTCAGAATACTTGGTTTGTCTGTAGAGCCTCCCAAGCGTTGAGGGCTATATTTCTGGGTGTTGGCACAGGAAGCAGCTCTGAGAGGCTGCAGAAAAAAACCTCCCTTCTCTGACACTGCATGGGAGCGCCCCATGGGATGAGGGGAGGACCGGGCAGTCAGACAAAGGTTAGGGAGGAAAGCAGCTAGGCAGAGGCCCAGAACAGACTCCAGGAAATGTTTGGATTTCTCCACCGGGAGGGAGGACAAACAAGCTTTTTTTCCCCTCAAGCCTTCTGGGCAGCTCTGAACACTCTCCAGCCCAGAGTGAGGTAGAAGGAACAGAAGCAGAAAAAGAAAAATCACCCCGGTGCTGGACTCAGCAACTCCCCTGCAACACGAATCTCATAGGACCTCCAAACTGCTTCCCCGAAATGTGCACTTCTGGAAAACAGCGTGCATCTCAGAGCCTGGCCCGGCTACAGGCTTTGTCCCTCCGGGAAACATGCAGCTTGTGATTCAGGCTACGGAGAAAAGACCTCCTCGAGTTTTCATTTCCTGATTGGTTTCTCTTGCGGGTTCAGCGCCTGCTTCCCAGGGCAATGAGGTTAGGAGCCCAGTCGCTGGAGGAGTCATAGTGTTCAGATAAGCATCTGCGCCTTTGTGCCAGGCACCCAGGACACTTGCCCTCTCGCCATCTGCCATGGACAACGGGTCGTGCTGCCTCCTTGAGGGGGACCCCATCTCCCAGGTGATGCCACCACTGCTCATCCTGGCCTTTGTGCTGGGTGCCCTGGGCAATGGGATTGCCCTGTGTGGTTTCTGCTTTCACATGAAGACCTGGAAGCCCAGCACTATTTACCTTTTCAACTTGGCCGTGGCCGATTTTCTCCTCATGATCTGCCTACCCTTGAGGACAGACTACTACCTCAGACAGAGACACTGGGCTTTTGAGGATATTCCATGTCGTCTGGTGCTCTTCATGCTGGCCATGAACAGGGCAGGGAGCATAGTCTTCCTCACGGTGGTGGCTGTGGACAGATATTTCAAAGTGGTCCATCCCTGCCACATGGTGAATACCATCTCCAACCGGACTGCGGCTGGCACTGTCTGTCTCCTCTGGATGTTGGTCATCTTGGGGACTGTGTATCTTCTGATGGAGAGCCATCTGTGTGTACAGGAGAAGGTGCTGTCTTGTGAGAGCTTCATCATGGAATCAGCCAATGGCTGGCATGACATCATGTTCCAGCTGGAGTTCTTCCTGCCCCTGGCCATCATCTTATTCTGTTCCTTCAAAGTTGTTTGGAGTCTGAGACAGAGGCAGCAGCTGGCCAGGCAGACTCGGATGAAGAGGGCCACCCGCTTCATCATGGTGGTTGCTGCTGTGTTCATCACCTGCTACCTGCCTAGCGTTCTGGCCAGACTGTATTTCCTCTGGACGGTACCCTCTAGTGCCTGCAACCCTTCTGTCCACATAGCCCTCCACATCACCCTCAGTTTCACCTACCTAAACAGCATGTTGGATCCTCTGGTATATTATTTTTCAAGCCCTTCATTTCCCAAATTTTATGCCAAGCTCAAAATCTGCAGTTTGAGACCCAGACACCCAGTACGCTCAAAGACACGAAGGTCCGAAGAGATGCCAATTTCGAATCTCTGTCGTAAGAGTTGCATCGATGTGGCAAATAGTTCCCAAAGGCCATTGGGCAGCCAGTAGGCTCTCCAAGTGTGCTGAATGGCACTAACATAAGGAGGCCAACATTGTCAAGACAGAGAGATGGGGCAACTGTGAGTTAATTCCTGCTGAAGGGTGGGGGACTTTGAGAACGCCAGCAGTCTGTCTTGTATGTATCTTCTCATTCAGAAATGAAATCCATTTTTTTGGATTTCATTTATGGAAGGTTCCAGTGGATTGAAGTGAGTTTATTATGTATATATCGTCTGGTTGCTCTGCTAAGGGACAGAACGTGCATGTCTAAAGGAGTATGTGTGTTGGGGGAGAACGCTTGGCTCCTGTGTCGTTTTTCACACAGTAAGAAATTAGGTATGAGTGTTTCATTGTGTCATGTTCTTGCTCAGGGAGGAGTTAATGAATTTGATGATTTATCAGTATTTCCTTGACTGAAAAAATAGAAACTGGACTGAGTCAACATTTATTTCCTGCTCAGTGGGACCCCCTTACATCAAGATGCCTCGTTTGTGACCATTTTCATTTTCCCAAGGGCATCTCTGTACATTTCCTTGTCAATGTTTGTACTTCCAAGTAGCCTAAGAATTGCAGTAAAACAATCTTCTTTTGATCTTTCAGTTCCACATTTTTTTCTGTTTTTTTTTTTCCTTTCATTTCAAAAGATATGTTTACCTGCCCTGGTTTCTCCAGGAGAAGTTGAAAGTCTGGGGAGAGGGGTACTTGGGATGTGCTAATTCAAACATGACTGTTTTTTACTGCTTGGTGTGTGAGTTGAAATCACTCATTCATGCATTCATTCATTCATTCTCCAAGTACTCACTGAATTCACATTCAGTATCAAGCACTAATCATGTTCCCTCCCCCATTTTTTTTTTTTTTTTTTTTTTTTTTTTTTTTTTTTATTTTTTTTTTTTTTTTTTTTTTTTTGTCTTTTTGAGACAGGGTCTCCCTGTAGGTCCAGCTAGCCTGGAACTCACTCTGTAGACCAGGCTGGCCTTGAACTCACAGAGATCTGCCTGCCTGTTTCTGGAGTGCTGGGATTAAAGATATGCGCCACCACATCCGGCTTGAATTTAGGGTCTTTGAATATTAGGGAAGAACTTTAGCACTGAGCTCTATTTCCAGCCTCTTGTATTCTTTTTCCTTGAGCATCATCAACTCCTGTGATAGTAAAGTTTTGGAGGTAGTAGAGACACTTCAGCACTTCTCCCTTTCATTGAATACAGGTTTAGACCTGTCCCACACCAACCCTGACCTTGTTGGACTTCCTAATGCACACCATTTCCCAAATACTATACCTGGAACTCTCAAACCCAAATGATTCTGTGAAATAACAGGCTGCCTCTTCCCTGGAGTAAGGAAAAAAGATCCCAGGTCAACCCTAGCTTCACTCTCAAGCCACAAACATGGTGAAAATTGTACTTTATTTTACATTGACTCCAATTCCCAGGGTACTCTCCCCGCACAGTGACCTTGCCACCTTTTTTCCTTTAGTTTTAAAACACCCATGTAGCTGTTCCTATGGTTTCCTTATGATTTCCTTTGCTGGTGGGAAAAGGCTTGTCTGCATGACTGGTGAGATGGCTCAGTGAGTAAAGGAACTTGCTGCCAAGTCCGATGACCTGACTTCAACTTCCAGGACCTACATGGTGGAACGAGAGAACTGACTCCTGCAAGTTGTCCTCTAACTTCCACATGCATGCCTTGGCACACCCAGGTATGCCTGTGCACATCCGCACAAAATAAATACTATTTCTTAACAAAGAAAAGTATCATCTACAGAGTCAGATGGGTCCAAGTTTGAATCCCAGCTCAAACACTTATTAGACAAATGATCTCCAGGTAGATTTTATTTAACCACTTTCAATTTTGACTTCTCCACCTGTCCAATGGGGTAAGAAATAACTGACTTCAAAGGATTTGGGGGCAAATTCAATGAATGTAAATTCTTGAAGCATAAGGACTTCATTTACTGTTTTGTCCCAGGTACCTAGATGGTTATCTGCACATAGTGGATGATGAATAAACTGTTGTCGAATGAATATAAAGTGCATATAAAGCATGAAACTATATATGGCTGGAAGTGCTCAATAATGACTTATTATATTAGCATTTTTTAAAAACAGTTTTATTAGAGTTTAAAAGGAAAACCCCAGGGCAGGTAAACTATAAATCTCGGCAAATGCACAAAGGAGGGTGATGAAGAGGAGGAGAGAAAACCATACTGTTTGTAAGCAGCCACACACGGTGAGGAGGAGGGCTTCTGAGGAAGAGTTAAAGGGCACAAAGTACCAGAAGCAGCACACTAGGGCTCAGGCCAGCATCAGAAAGACAGAGAAATAAAAGGTAAAGTTTGCATGGAAAGATGGGCAGATCTAACAGAACTTCAAGTATTTGGCTGCGACTGACACATTAGCATGTTTTGCATATAAAGAAACTGACACAGGAAAATGAGTCCCTTAAAGCCATTCCTTTATCCACACTTGAATTTCCTTACTTCCTAGCTACCTAGGAAGGAGTGAATCCAGGGATTTGTACCAGCATCAAAGGATCACATATCCTTTCGACAGACAGCTGTGAAAACTGGACTGGGGAGATAGCTCAGTCAATAAAGTGCCTGCCCCAACCATAAGGATTAAGTTCAGTCCTTGGATCCAAGTGGTGGGATACGCTTGCCCCACCAAAGCACTGACAAGGTGGGGACAGGTGAAGTGACTCAGCAGGTAAAGGGGCTTGTTACAAAACCTGACAACCTGAACCCACATGGTGGAAGGAGAGAACTGACCCCTGCAAGTTGTTATCTGATCTCCACATGCGTGCACACAAACATCCAATAAATAAACAAACAAAAGGCAGACCATTCCTGAGGAACAACACCAGAGGGTGATTCCTGGCCTCCACATGCACTCACATATGCCCACATACAAACACGCATACATACATATCCTACACCAAAAAAAAATTTTAAAGAAATTTGTGAAAATTTCTGCTTTTTTTTCCTTTGGTCTTTTTGAGACAGGGTCTCCCTGTAGCCCCAGCTGTCCTGGAACTCACTATGTAGACCAGGCTGGCCTTGAACTCACAGAGATCTGCCTGCTTCTGCGTCCCGAGTGCTGGGATTAAAGGTGTAAAGGCATGCACCATCATGCCCGGCTGAAAACTTCTACTTTTAATGTTATCCTTGGTTATAATTCTTTATTCCTTTGTTGATTCATCTTAATAAAAATGGATTTTGGAAAAAAGTTTGTGTCTTGCGTGTGACTTTGCCTTGAAAAACTTTTAATATCTAGACACAGCAGTCATGTAGACAGAGGCTCGCACTACAAAACAGCAAAAACAAACCAAAAGCCAGAAAACTCAAACAAAACCTCAAACATAGCCTTGATTCTGTGTTTCCTTTTTTTTTCTGTCTTTTTGAGACAGAGTTTCCCTGTAGCCCCAGCTGTCCTGGAACTCACTATGTAGACCAGGCTGGCCTTGAACTCACAGAGATCCTCCTGCCTCTGCCTCCCAAGTGCTGGGATTAAAGGCATGCGCCACCATTCCCGGCAGTGTTTCCTTTTTTTAAGTTCTCAGAATGTGACACAAAATAAAACTTACCAAGAAAGGGTTCGGAATTAGTAAGGAAGAGAAGTGTAGCTTTGTTGACAAGGCAGTTTACCCTGGAATAGGAAAAGAACTGCTTTAGAGGAAACTGTTTCCCCTCTACAGGAAAGCCAATAGTCTAGAAGGATGATGTGGGAAATGAGAAGTGACTTTCAGTGCAGACAATGGTAAAAATTTGAGTTCCGGAATAGTCTTAGAATGGGTGTTCTTACCCTATAATTAAGCAGAAATGGTTCCGATGGGGTTTGAAGTCATGTGGTATAAAGGCTGCTTGGAAGGATTAGGTCTCTGGCACATGAGGAGTTAAGCCAGTTGTTAAGATTTATTTTAAAATATTTGATTTATTATTTTATGTGTATGAGTGTATTGCCTGCATGTAAGTGAGTGCACCATGTCGTGCAATGCCAAGGAGGTCAGATGAGGGCTTCGGAGTCCCCTGGAACTGGAGTTAAGGACGGTTCGCAGCCACCGTGTGGGTGCTGGGAATCAAACCTGGGCCCTCTGCAAGGGCAGTCAGTGCTCTTAACCGCTGAGCCATCTCTCCAGCCCCCAGTTGTTAAGATTTTGTAGGAGGCAAGCTAAGAGAGGCTAGGTCACACTGTGATCTGGCCTGGGCATTCAGCTCCACAGCTGGTTCTATATGATGCAAGACCCCATCATTACAATGAGTGCATCTGTAGCTTCAGAACTGGCTCTACAATCTGCAGGGTCAAATGAAAAATGGAAATTTTAGGACCACTTTTCAAAAAGTATTGAGAATTTGAAGATGGCTCCAGGCAAGATGGTACATACCTATGACCTGAGGACTTGAGGGCCTTTGGGATTAGCCTGGGCTGCTTAGCAAGACTGACTCAAAAGACAAAAAGCCAGAACAAAACCAGGTGTGGTGTACACCTGTGACCTCAGCACTTGGAGATCACAGTGGAGGAAAAAGAATCAGGAGTTCAAGGTCATCCTCTGATACATAGTGAGTTTGAAGCTATACTGGGCCGTGTGAAACCCTCTCTCAAACAAGACCCTTCTTTGATTTAATTAATAGGTATTGTGGGGAGCTGGAGAGAAGGCTCAGAGGTTAAGAGCTCATACTGCTCTTGCAGAGGACTTGAGTTTGGTTTCAAGCTCTTATGTCAGATGGCTCACCATTACCTGTAACTCTAGCTCCAAGGGAGCCAATGCCCTCCTCTGGCCTCTTAGGGTACCTACACTCATGTGCACATACCCCTACACAGGCACACATGCATACATGCATACACAAAATTAAAAAGAATAAAATTTTTAATTTCTTTATTATTTTTATGTGTATGCATGTATTGCCTGCATGTATGTAAGTGCACTGTGTCATGCAATGCCTATGGAGGACAGAAGAAGCCATCAGATCCCCTGGAACTGGAGTTGTTAGCTGCCATGTGGGTGCTGGGATTCAAACCCAGGTCTTCTGCAAGAACAGCCAGTGTTCTTAACCACTGAGCCATCTCTCCAGCCCCAAAAGAACACACACAAAAAATTTTTTTTTTGTCTTTTTGAAGCAGGGTTTCCCTGTAGCCCCAGCTGTCCTGGAACTCACTATGTAGACCAGGCTGGCCTTGAACTCACAGAGATCCGCCTGCCTCTGCCTCCCAAGTGCTGGGACTACAGGCGTGTGCCACCATGC